GGGGGGGGGGGGGGGGGGTCATATAACAACTACTGTATATTCCTTTGAAAAAGTACCTACACTATAGTACATACCTAATGTTATATAATGGTTGGGTCTCGTGAATTACTGTGTTACATGTTGGACATCTGTTCACTAAGCTTATATGTCGAATAATACAACTTTTGCAGACTGTAAATAACAAGAAAAAAGGTTTATAAACAGGATTAGTAGCTCCAATGACATTAAACAACATTTATATATATATTAACATGATAAACTGTAGGATAACAGAAGGTCTAACGTAATAGTATTTGGTAGATTTTGGAGTAAATCTAGAGGTCTAACTTACATGTGTGAATGCATTCAGTGATTGTCACAGGGTTGACTAAATAGCCTTTACACAGCTTACAGATCAGATGTGGATTAAGATCTGCAATTCTGATCTTACGACGCTTCTGAGAAGAAATAAAACCACATACTAGTCTATGAACAAGAATAATAATTTACAGTGAAAACATTTTGAGTAAGATTATGTTTTGTAAACATTTTCAACATTCGATCATGACAGTCTCTTCGTCACGTGTCGCATTAGAACGACGAATTCGATAAACTTTCACCTAAAACTGAAGTACAAACAATCTTTGTCCTTACCTCCATCATTTTGGCTCTTTTAATTAACTTCTTATCCCGATCTGACGGCAAAAAAGCAAGTATTTTTAACCCAAACTTTTTTTAAGATCTTCAAACATGGCGACTGATAGACACAAGACCCTCGCTTTGAAGAAACTCTTCAGCCTAGTCACGTGCTTGTTTAATTTTCCCGCCAAAAATAATATACACAGGTAGCTCGAGTGCGTCAATTCTTTCTTTTCTCGTTTGGACGAGTTTTGTAGAATAAGATTGTCAATCTTTAGTATGAAATAGTGCAGGCATTATAATCATAATTTGTATCATCACTCTATAATGGCATATAAGCAGCTATTGTATTATTTTCAAATTCTCTTTTCTGTTCAATTAAAAATTAATTTGCATCGTTCCCATTCGCATTCTTTCGAGGGAAAACTATGACTTATGGAATCAGTCTAGTATAGTTTGGAATGATATAATTAATATGCAATAGGACTAATGTCTGTTTAATTTGGAAATAATTGAATTCAAAAAATTCCTCTGACTGACTATTAATACTCAGCAGCAGCAGATTGGAATCTTCTTCTAAAGAAAATACACGACATTACATCGTTGCAGAGCTTTGAGGAGGAACTTTTTAATCATTTTAAGCTTCTAGATATCACGTTCTATTTTTTATTATTTTGTTGTTGTTGTTGTTGTT